ACTGATATTCAGGCAAGAGCGAGACGTCCACATGCGACGAAGGCTGGTGCAAAAGTCGACTGCAGAAAATCCCAGTTAGCTGGTGTTTGGGCACAGTCCCTGGACCCATTATGTACCTCTGTTATCTTTTGACTACCGTCCAGAGGATGAGTATGAGGTGCATAATAAAGATATGAAACTAACTAAAGCTGGTGTTGCGGTTCTTAAGGGCCACCAGGGTGTGAGCCTTGGTCTTCTTGATGGAGTTTATAGAGTTTCTAACAGCTTACGCCGTATCGAGCCCTGCTTTCAAGTAAAATAATAATAATAATAATAATAATAATAATAATAATAATAATAATAATAATAATAATATAATAATAATAACAATAATAATAATAATAATAATAATAATAATAATAATAATAATAATATAATTTATTTCTACAAGTACATGTACAAGGTATATAGGCCTAAGATTAGACTTCTTTCGGATTTTCAACCCCGGAGGGTTAGCCACCCAGGATAACCCAAGAAAGTCAGTGCGTCATCGAGGACTGTCTATCTTGTTTATTCATTGACACTTGTTTAATACAACTTAATCTAAGTTCACACACACACACACACACACATATAAGGTTAAAACAACATAAATATAGTATTAGAAGAGGACAAGATGTTAATGCTCTGTTTATTCATGTGAGAGATTTTAACCATCCAATTGATTTTTCAAAAGATTGAGAAAATTACATCAAATAAGTCTATGGTCGACAAAAATATAATAAAATCATATTTCACAAAAACTTGTTTTGAAAATAATTTGAATATTTCTTTTGATTTATGTAAATTGGATTCATTTATCATTAATAAAATTTGGGAAGAATTTAAGATACATTAGACAAAATTTTGGGTAGAATGTAAGCTGTATTTCACGAATCACTGACTACCTACCTACATCATTATTTAAAGTCAGGTGTTGTTGTGGGGAGGAGGGCAACGAGGTGTAGTCTCGTCTTTGTATGTTTTCCTGTTAACCTTTTGTTTTTGTAGGCCCTTGATAATGTGAGAAGTCACGAAAGCGATTGGAATTTCACTATTTTTCCATATATAATATATATATAAATATATATATATTAATATATATATATATATATATAATATATATATATATATATATTCTAATTGTTTAGTAGAGGAACAAAGACTGACAATGACCTTCACAAGTCATTTTGTCTATTGTTCACTGATACGGTAAAAATATCAGCAGATATTAATAGTAACATTTCAGTGATGCGGCAGACCCACCAAAACTCACTTACATGTCGTTGTAGGTTTTAAGTCACAACTCCTGGCCCGGTGTGGAGTCAGTGCAGGGAGGGCTGGAGGGGCGCCCTCCACTTGGTAAAAGGGGTGAATAAATATCAGCAGAAAAGTTGGTGTGTGTTTTATTAATATAAATATACATAAATTTAATGATCAATGATATGTACAGACGTCTCCCAGGATGATGGTCCCGGTCGTGGCGGCTCCAGAAATTATGTATTATAGAAGGATTTTAGGGATTATAGGGATGGTTATCTACTCAGAAGGTTCTCTTAGGGATGGTTATCTACTCAGAAGGTGGTCTTAGGGATCGTTATCTACTCAGAAGGTGGTCTTAGGGATGGTTATCTACTCAGAAGGTGGTCTTAGGGATGGTTATCTACTTGGAAGGTGGTCTTAGGGATCGTTATCTACTCAGAAGGTGGTCTTAGGGATGGTTATCTACTCAGAAGGTGGTCTTAGGGATGGTTATCTACTCAGAAGGTGGTCTTAGGGATGGTTATCTACTTGGAAGGAGGTCTTAGGGATGGTTAACTACTCAGAAGTTGGTCTTAGGGATGGTTATCTACTCAGAAGGTGGTCTTAGGGATGGTTATCTACTCAGAAGGTGGTCTTGGGATGGTTATCTACTCAAAGGTGGTCTTAGGGATCGTTATCTACTCAGAAGGTGGTCTTAGGGATGGTTATCTACTCAGAAGGTGGTCTTGGGATGGTTATCTACTCAGAAGGTGGTCTTAGGGATGGTTATCTACTCAGAAGGTGGTCTTAGGGATGGTTATCTACTCAGAAGGTGGTCTTAGGGATGGTTATCTACTCAGAAGGTGGTCTTAGGGATGGTTATCTACTCAGAAGGTGGTCTTAGGGATGGTTATCTACTCAGAAGGTGGTCTTGGGGATGGTTATCTACTTGGAAGGTGGTCTTAGGGATGGTTATCTACTCAGAAGGTGGTCTTAGGGATGGTTATCTACTCAGAAGGTGGTCTTGGGGATGGTTATCTACTTGGAAGGTGGTCTTGGGGATGGTTATCTACTCAGGTGGTCTTAGGGATGGTTATCTACTCAGAAGGTGGTCTTAGGGATGGTTATCTACTCAGAAGGTGGTTATCTACTTGAAAGGGGATGAGGGGTTTGGAGACAATTTTTGCAGGACAAACACAAGGTTTTTACCAGATTTAGTTGGTTGATTAATGAGGTACAAAGCTACTGAATACACTAGGGTCATTAAGGCTGCACGTAACTTCTTCACAGAAAAAACTATAATCCCTAAAATAGGGGATTTAATCCCTAAATTAAGAATTAAAGTAAATTTTCATCTTATATAGGCCTACCAGGCCACGTCTACACGGCGTGGCCTGGTAGGCAACGATCTCACTTCACACACAGTGTCCGTAGCTCGATCCCCGGCTAGGGTGGAAACATTGGGTTCATTACCTTACTCCTGCTGTCCCTGTTCACCTAGTAGCTGTATAACCTTTGTGGTTTAGCGCTTCTTTCTGATTATAATAATAATATTCACCTAGTAGTAAGTAGGTGTCTGGGTATTAGTCGACTGGTGTGGATCGCATCCCGGGGGACAAGATTTAAGGACCCACTGGAAATAAGACAGTCAGTCTTCGATGACTCACTGACTTTCTTACGTTATCCTGGGCGGCTAACCCTCTGGGGTTAAAAATCTTATCTCTCATCCTTTTATGCACACTATATATAGCCGCGAGAAAACAATTGTTCAATGAAAGAATAGGAACTACGATCACATGAAATTATACATCATGTATGCCATCAAAATAACGATTTCACGTTGAATTTATTTACGTAAAGAGACATATAGCCAGAACTTATTCACTAAGATGGTAGGCTGAGGGGAATTAAGAAGTTATAGTAGTATTAGTCTCCGTTGTTTGGAAGCAAGAGTATCAGTGCTTCCTTCAGACTTCAGACTCTGTCTTTGAATTTGTAAATATAACAGAAATAACACTTGTTCTGTCAGCATTACTGTTATTCCTCGTGGAGCATTCTCACTACCTACTGGGCCTTATGGCCCATATCTAGGTTAGGTTACCCCTCAAGGAAGGTTTCTTGATGTTGGTGAGGGGCTCTTGATTTAGGGAATTAGATTTGTGCTCCAGTTCCCCGAATTAAGTCTGAATGCCTTCCACATCATCCCCCCAGGCGCTGTATAATCCTCCGGGTTTAGCGCTTTCCCCTTGATTATAATAATATAATAATAATAATAGGTTAGGTTAGGTAAGGTTTGTCAGGAAACAGGACAAGTGTTGCCTGACGAAGATCTTAGTCATATGATGACCCGCAGCTGTAGCTTTTGATCATCTGATGGAGCCCTTCCGCTAGCTTACCGGTTCACCCTTTTAAATATTAAGGTTATAAGTTTAAATTTATTTCTAGTATAGGCGGAGATTTATACATAAGAAGTTGAACAACTGATTCTTTTCACCATTATGAGCTTTGGGAAGACTAAAGAAAATTAGGAGAGCTGAATTACCCCCACGCTCCCCCACCCTCATCCTGGCTACCCATTGTCCCCATCATCTTTCACCAGACCGGCCGTATCCCACCCAGGCAGGGTGCCCTAAAATGAAAAAGAAAAGTTCCTCTTTTTAACTTTAATAATGCATAAAGGAGAAGGGGTTATTAGCCCCTTGCTCCGGGCATTTTAGTCGCCTCTTACAACACGCATGGCTTACGGAGGAAGAATTCTGTTCCACTTCCCCATGGAGATAAGAGGAAATAAACAAGAACAAGAACTATCAAGAAAATAGAAGAAAACCCAAAGGGGTGTGTATATATATGCTTGTACATGTATGTGTAGTGTGACCTAAGTGTAAGTAGAAGTAGCAAGACGTACCTGAAATCTTGCATGTTTGAGGCAGAAAAAAGACACCAGCAATCCTACCATCATGTAAAACAATTACAGGCTCCCAATATCACCACAAAATCGTAATAACAGGGTCACAAACAAATGGTTAACGCACCGGCCTGTGTTCTAGTGCTCACCCGCCCGGGTTCAATCCTCACCTACGCTGTGACTTGTTCATCACCTTTGATGCTGTGAGTTATCCACAACAACTGCACCCATGATATTATTTCTTCAGATTCTTCCATGGCATAAATTTTTGTAATTTCTGTGTACCTTGTATGATATACATTGTAATGGTTCAGGCTTGAGTAGACTCAGACGATCAGCAGAAGTATGTAAATAGTTACCTGATAATAATATATATAGGAAAGAAATTTTGAGATCAGTTATTTTTGAACACTATAGGCCTATTGAAAATAAACGAGAAAAAAGACCAGAAAGTGATATTGAGAGGTTCGAGGTGGGGGTGGGTTGTGATGGTGTAGGGTGGTGGGTGCTGGGTGGAGTGGCTGAGGTGTTAAGGTGGGTGGAGTGGGCTGCAGGTGGGTGGAGTGGGCTGCAGGGTGGGTGGGGTGGAGTGGGCTGCAGGGTGGGTGGGGTGGGTGGGCTGCAGGATGGGTGGGTGGGCTGCAGGTGGGTGGGGTGGGCTGCAGGTGTGGGTGGAGTGGGTGAGGGTGGGTGGGTGGAGTGGGCTGGAGGGTGGATTGGGGGGTAGACTGGGCTTGATGGTGGTGAGGTGGGCTGCAGGGTGGGTGGGGTGAGCCGCAGGGTGGGTGGGGTGGGGATGAGTGTTATGTACTGGATGATGTGCGTGTCAAGTAGGAACAGTAGTTGAGGTGGGCGCCTACTGTCATCTTCACCACAGGTCACTCTCCTCAAGACTCCTAGTGTCTGGAGCAGAATAATTTACACAGAACCATTAAAAACAGTGACGTTACTATGGCACACTTGTACCACTGACTCACCAGTCAGCGTAGAAATGCACAAGTGTTTAAGGATAGACAGTTTTTGACTGTGAGTGGACATCAGGTGAATGTCATAAGCATCCTTCTTTCAGTTGATATTTTTCCAGCCAATGAAGAATTCTTCTCCCAAAATCGTTTTTGCAGTGACAGTCTTGAAGGTGTTGTAGCGACGATTTGGTTCAGAGGGACCATCTGTGTGCATCGGGTGAGTGTACTCGCCTATTTGTGGTTGCAGGGGTCGATTCACAGCTTCTGTGTGTTTGTTCATACGTGTTTGCAGGGCTATGACTGTCGGTGTTACCTAAGCCAAAGGTCAGAATACTGCCGTAGTTGATCTCCAGCTCTTGGGCACCAACATTAAACCTCTAATAAACCGATATGCTTCATACATATGTTTTGTCCCCAAATTTGAATTTCTTCCATTTCAATATATTCCCGAGAGTTTCACAATTTCTAGAAATATTCACCACACTAGTTGTACCTAACAAAATCAATTTCTATTGAGACTAATTACAATTAGCTTCACAAAAAATATTATAAATCCATATGACAGTTGCAATTAACATATAGCATTATGGCATTTTGTGAAAGTATATAATAAACTTATCATAGTAGTGTACATTACTAGGATACCAAAAAAGATCGAAGTTATTTTTCGAGTGGAGTCTGTGGTAAAAATATATTCAGTGAGTCTGGGTAAAATATATTCGAGTGGATCTGTGGTAAAAATTATTTCGAGTGGAGTACTGTGGTAAAAATATATTCGAGTGATCGTGTAAAATATTTCGAGTGGAGTCTGTGGTAAAAATATATTTCGAGTGGAGTCTGTGGTAAAATATGCAGACATATATATAATGAAGTTGGGTACTTCCACTTGTCGGGTACACAAAGAAATGTGATTATGTGGAGTGTGTAAGTGTAAGTGAGTTTAAGCTATCTTCAGTAAGCATTTGCCCCTCCCCACGTTCTCTCACACAATTAACAGTAATTAGTCCAGCATGTGAGCACTGATGACAACTGACTGTAATTTAATGTGCCATCTTACTACTGATAACACTGTATCACCTGATCTCTGCTGAATATTCTTTATCCCAGTATACTACCCTTACATATTATAATAATATATTAATGTACATATATAATATATACTATAATTATATATATATATTATATATAATACTATATATATATCTATAATCATATTATATTATTATATAAGATATATATATACTATATATATATATATATAATATATATATATATATATATATATATATATATATATATATATATATATATATATATATATATATATATATATATATATATATATATATATATATATATATATATGCAATAAGATCACAGTAAACAGGTGATTTCAGAATATGCAAAACAACCACTGTGAAAGAATATAGAAATTCCAAACGCTTTCGTGACTATTCACATTATCATTGTTCTTTGATACTAAATTTGATATTTATTCTCTATTCAATAATAATAAATAATTATTTAATAATAATAATATAGCTTAATATTTATTCTCTATTTAATAATAATAATAATAAATGTAAGGTTCGACTCTGTTTAGAAAAAGTGGATTTAAAACTACGACTGGATCTATGGTTTATTCCAATGAAAGAGACGGTGAAACGAAGAGTATTCTACTGGATATTGACAATTATAAATCAATGGGGGATCAGAGGATGAGATTATCACCCCGGATAAGGTATCAGAGACGCCTAGCCTCTGGCGGGAGCCTCTTTACACACTTAGATGCCATAACATAAGCACTGAAACCTACGTTATATCATACAAGTTTTCTTTTGTTTTTCCTCCACTTACAAGATCATTGTTGACATTTCTTCACCTTATTGTCTCAGGTGTGGGAATATTCATGTAAATTTTGTGTGGTAGACGAAATTTTTTTTTCCCATCCATTCATAGGACTGGGTTTAATATGACTCCATATGAGAGGAGTGGGTTTGAAAATGAGCCCATAGATATGACGGAGTTTTAAACTGGACTCATATATAACCTCGGCTTTAAAGTGAATCCGTAGATAAGGCTCGGCTTTAAGTGAACTATAGATTAGACGGAGCTTTAAAAAGTAATCCATAGATACGGCTGGTCTTTAAAATGAACCCGAAATAGAAGTAGGGTTTTAAATTAAAACCCCATAGATACGGCTGGCGCTAGCAAATGAACCCACACATGGACTAAAGGGTTGGAAATCAACTTGGGGGTAGCGAACAACTCAGCCCTCATACGTTATTATTTTTGTGTGCATGTGGCAGTGGTATTATGGTGAGTTGGTACGAAGAATGAAGAACCAGGGTATAGGAGGGTAGGGAGGCCCAGGGAACAGGACGGTAGGGAGGACAAGGGTACAGGTGGGTAGGGAGGCCAAGGGTACAGGAGGGTAGGGAGGCACAGGGAACAGGAGGGAAGGGAGGTCCAGGGTACAGGAGGGAAGGGAGGACCAGGGTACAGGAGGGAAGGAAGGACAAGGGTATAGGAGGGTAGGGAGGACCAGGGTACAGGAAGGTAGGGAGGACCAGGGTACAGGAGGGAAGGGAGGACCAGGGTACAGGAAGGTAGGGAGGACCAGGGTACAGGAGGGTAGAGAGGACCAGGGTACAGGAGGGGAGGGGGGACAAGGGTACAGGAGGGAAGGTAGGACCGGGTACAGGAAGGAAGGGGAGACCAGGGTAAAAGGAGGGAAGGTAGGACCCCGGGTAAGGAGGGTAGGAGGACCAGGTACAGGAAAGGTTGGGAGGACAGGGTACAGGGGAAGGGGGGACCAGGTACAGGAGGGTAGGGAGGACCAGGGGACAGGAGGGTAAGGGAGGACAAGGGTACAGGAGGGTAGGGAGGACCAGGAATAGGAGGGTAGGGAGGGCCAGGGTACCGGGGGAAGGTAGGACCAGGGGAAAAGGAGGGTAGGGAGGACCAGGGTCAGGGAAAGGGAGGGAGGACAAGGGTACAGGAGGGGAAAGGGGGGACCAGGGGACAGGAGGGTAGGGAGGACCAGGGTACAGGAGGGAAGGGAGGACCAGGGGTAAGGAGAGAAGGGAGGACTAGGGGACAGGAGGGTAGGGGGGGACCAGGGTACAGGGGAAGGGAGGACCAGGTACAGGAGGTAGGGGGAACCAGGGTACAGGGGGTAGGGAGGACCAGGGTACAGGAGGGAAGGGAGGACCAGGGAACAGGAGGGATAGGAGGACCAGGGTACAGGAGGGTAGGGAGGACCAGGGTACAGGAGGGAAGAGAGGACCAGGGTACAGGAGGGTAGGGAGGACCAGGGTGCAGGAGGGAAGGGAGGACCAGGGTACAGGAGGGTAGGGAGGACCAGGGTACAGGAGGGAAGGGAGGACAACGGTACAGGAGCGTAGAGAGGATCAGGGTACAGGAGGGTAGGGAGGACCAGGGTACAGGAGGGAATGGAGGACCAGGGTACAGGAGGGAAGGGAGGAACAGGGTACAGGAGGGAAGGACCAGGTTACAGGAGGGTAGGGAGGATAAGGGTTCAGGAGGGAAGGAAGGACCATGGAACAGGAGGGAAGGGAGGACCAGGGTACAGGAGGGAAGGGAGGACCAGGGTACAGGAGGGTAGGGAGGACCAGGGAACGGGAGGGAAGGACCAGGGTACAGGAGGAAAGGACCAGGGTACAGGAGGGTAGGACCAGGGTACAGGAGGGAAGGGAGGACCAGGGTACAGGAGGGTAGGGAGGACCAGGGTACAGGAGGGAAGGTAGGACCAGGGTACAGGAGGGTAGGGAGGACCAGGGTACAGGAAGGTAGGGAGGACCAGGGTACAGGAGGGTAGGGAGGACCAGGGTACAGGAGAGAAAGGAGGACCAGTACAGGGGTAGGGAGGACCAGAGTACAGGAGGGTAGGGACAACCAGCGTACAGGAGGGAAGGGAGGACCAGGGTACAGGAGGGTAGGGAGGACCAGGGTACAGGAGGGAAGGGAGGACCAGGGTACAGGAGGGTAGGGAGGACCAGGGTGCAGGTGGGATGTAGGACCCAGGTTACAGGAGAGTAGGAGGACCCCGGGTACAGGGGAAAGGGAGGGAGGAAACCCCGTACAGGAGGAAGAGAGACCAGGGGACAGGAGGGTAGGGGGGGCCAGGAAACAGGAGGAAGGGAGGAAACCCGGTACATTAGGGAAGGGGGGACCAGGGGCCAGGATGGAAGGGAGGACCAGGTACAGGAGGGTAAGGAGGACCAGGGTACAGGAGGGTAGGGAGAACCAGGGTACAGGAGGGAAGGGAGGACCAGGGTACAGGAGGGTAGGGAGGACCAGGGTAAAGGAGGGAAGGGAGGACCAGGGTACAGGAGGGTAGGGAGGACAAGGGTGCAGGTGGGATAGGAGGATCAGGGTACAGGAGGGTAGGGAGGACCAGGGTACAGGAAGGTAGGGAGGAACAGGGTACAGGAGGGTAGGGAGGACCAGGGTACAGGAGGGTAGGGAGGACCAGGGTACAGGAAAGAAGGGAGGACCAGGGTACAGGAAGGTAGGGAGGACCAGGGTACAGGAGGGAAGGGAGGACCAGGGTACAGGAGGGTAGGGAGGACCAGGGTACAGGAGGGTAGGGAGGACCAGGGTACAGGAGGGAAGGGAGGACCAGTGTACAGGAGGGAAGGGAGGACCAGGGTACAGGATGGAAGGGAGGACCAGGGTACAGGAGGGAAGGGAGGACCAGGGTACAGGAGGGAAGGGAGGACCAGGTACAGGGGGGTAGGGGAGGACCAGGGTACAGGAGGGTAGGGAGGACCAGGGCAACAGGAAGGTAGGGGAAAACCAGGGTACAGGAGGGGAGGGGGGACCAGGGTACTGAGGGATGGGAGGACCAGGGGACAGGAGGGAAGGGAGGACCAGGGGAAAAGGAGGAAGGCAGGAACCAGGGTACAGGAGGGAAGGGAAGGACCAGGGTACAGGATGGAAGGGAGGACCAGGGGACAGGAGGAAGGGAGGACCAGGGGACAGGAGGTAGGGGACCCAGGGTACAGGCGGGAAGGGAGGACCAGGGTACAGGAGGGTAGGGAGGACCAGGGGACCAGGAAGGGAGGGAAGACCAGGTACAGGGGGGTAGGAAGGACCAGGGTACTGGAGGGAAGGAGGACCAGGGTACAGGAGGAAGGGGAGGACCAGGGGACAGGAAGGGAAGGCAGGGCCAGGGTACAGGAGGGAAGGGAG